TTCAGATATAAACACTGAACTAAACAAGCATCAGATAATTATTTAATCGGCTCTGATTAAACAACTTCAGATTCGACGTGCTAAAAGTAGCATCCATGCTAACTCTGTAAACAAACAAGCTGGCTGAATGAGACGTCACATGTTTTACTGTGCATGTGTGTCACATCAGCGCTGTGTAGAGTTCACACAGGAGTTTGATGGACGTTCAAACCAAAAGATCTGATTTTTTTCAAAAAAATCAGAATTGAGCATTAAGACCTGCGGTGTGAACATAGACCTTGACTGACTAAATGTGAAATAAATAATCCAGAAATGCTTTTAAAAGTAAGAGTTTGACTCACTGTTGAGCTGTGGTGAGTAGCTGCCATCTTGAATTTTGAATTCTCCCACTTTCAGTGGGAGTTCACACTGGAGTGGCATTACAGTTTAAATTTACCACTTGGAAGTCYGAAAGTCCCACTTTCCAGTACAATTGGGCTGCATGAAAAGTATTTGGAGAAAATGCAGAGCTTTGGAGAGTTTGCTCAATGAATTTCACCAGCTACCTCTGAACCCTGTGCACCTAATGGGTAAAAAAATCAACATGCATTTTGGGAAATGTAGTTTATAGTCAATGTTGGCTTTAAAACAGATTGTGGTTATTTTAACACAATACATCTTTGAAGCTCTCACAGGCCACATAAAATGCCATGACGGGCCACTTTTGGCCCACAGACCTTGAATTTGAGTTTAGAAAAGTTCTGATATTTGACAAAGCCCTTCTTTTTTTCCTGCAGGGAGTTGTTTTTCATTCCTCCGTCTGTAAAGAAGCTCRTGTCTGAACTCCTCCCTCACAAACACTCGTGCCATGCAGGAGGTGTAATCCTCCACCCTCCTCTTCTCCCTGTGCCACGGTGACCACCCCCTCCCCTGCCGTTAACGAGTCAAGATGTCAGACGCCGGCTCCTCACTGCCGACAGACCCCCTGCTGCCTCTGACCTCCCCACGCACTCCCCTGCAGCTCTCCTTCCCCTTCTTGAGGGAAGGCAGTCGTGTTTGGGAGAGGGAGAGGAAGCCGTTGCAGCCCGGAGAGCTGCCCAGTCCACTGCCCACCAAACGTACCCGCACATACTCAGCGTGAGTACGAACACAGACCAGAGTCCATCACTGCCCTCCTCATTTATATTCATTTTAAAGGAAAACAAAAGTCTATTTTATTCTCTGTTTTTGTCCCCTCTCTCCCTGCAGGACAGTCCGAGCCAGATCAGGCCCCGTGTTTAAAGGGGTTTGTAAAAACTTCTCCAGGTCTCAGGGTCATGGATTCATACACCCTTCTCACGGAGGAGAGGACATCTTTGTCCACATTTCTGAGTGAGTCATTCATTTTATGACCGTGGAAAATAAAATAATTAATCTGAGAAACAAAATGGTGCATTTGACGTACAGATCGATTTAAAAAGCTACTGAAACGTTACAGTTGCCTCACAATCCAACAGAAAGCTGCTATTTTACGTAATGGCTATTACTGACATGTAATTTTACAGAAATGTTGACTAGCAGAATGTAAATGCAACACTGTGCAAAAACCTTGAGTCATCCCTTGTTTCTTTACATCAGGGTGCCCAACCTTTTTTGAACCAAGAGCTACTTTTGAAGTCGGCAGTTTGCTGAGAGCTACTCGTCCAGTCTCAGTATCAAAAAACATAATTTTTCGTCTCCCTACTCCTCACTTCTTTAAAGTAAATAAAACAGAACGTAATGTGTTGTTAGTTTTATTTAATTTAAAGTATTGTCAAACAAAACTATCTACTTAACCATATATTTACCTACAAAAAAAAAGATAAAATCCTTACTTAACTCCTGACAGAGAAACAGAAAAGTGATGCTCGAACAAAAAGGATAAATTTTTTTATCTCCTTCAATTAGCACTCCCTGTAACGTGCGAGCTCTGAGGGCTGAAAACCTGCACACTGAGAGAACCACAGACTTAAATAACTTTGGAGCACGGGAACTAGTCTCCATTTATTCAAAGAACTCTCCTCTTCTCTCCATACAGGGGAGGAAAAACAAAACAAAAATCTATCAGGTTAAACATGGCTACAACAAGAGTACCGCCCTTTTTTTTTTCAAAGTCAAAGCACACAATATAAAACTCTCTTGTTTATACTATTACAAAAAGTGACTTACGATGGTGCAGATTCACAAATCTCCAACAACTATTTCAAACCTCAGTCTCTGTGCAGCATTCAGGATGATGTCATCTGTAGGTGCTGGTCCTCACTGGTCCAGACTGCTGCTGGCTCCAGACCATTCAAAGAGTTTCACCTGTTTCACCACCTATAAGACAAGACACACACACACACACACGCTCTCCGGTCGGGAGCTCGCTGAGCTTCATTCTAACTCCGGCAGAAGCGGTGGAGGTGGGAGGAGAAGAGCGGAGGGAGCGCGTTCAGGAATGTAAACTCCTCCCGCCTCCCACCTCCACCGCTTCTGCTGGAGTTAGAATGAAGCTCAGCGAGCTCCCGACCGGAAAGCAAGGTTGTGCTTCCCAGGCACCTGGGAATCAGCTGGCGAGCGACTGGTTGGGCACCCCTGCTTTACATTTTGCTGCTCAAGCAGTAGACCAGGGGCTTCCAATCCTGGTCCTCAAGGGCCACTATTCTGCATGTTTGAGATGTTTCTCGGCTGCAACACACCTGATTTGAATGAATGAGTGACTTACAGGCTCCTGCAGAACGTGAAAAGGTGTGTTGCAGCAGAGAAACATCTAAAACATGCAGAATAGTGGCCCTTGAGGACCAGATCTGAACACCCCAGAACTAGACATTCAACACGTACTGCACAATAACCTGTCACAATGACTTAGGAGGACTGAATTAAAAAATGTAAAAGTTTTAAAGAGAAACTTTTAAATGGCCTTAGAAATTCTGACTATTGATCCCAATTGATCTTGAAGAGATCATAACAAAATGAGGGTCTAATACAGAGATCTAAACCTGGTCCTTAAGGCCCCACGATTCTGCAGGTTTTAGATGTTTGTCTGATCCTGAATCAGGGGTGTTGGAGCCGGGCAAACATCTAAAACATGCAGAACATTGGGGCCCTGAGAACCAYGGATGGGAGCATCTGGATTAGTAAATAAATGTGTTGGGAAATAGACCTTTACAAAATTGTTTTACACGTAGACATGTTTAGAGCAAACCGGACATCTTTTCCTGAGAATCCTCAGATCGCTTTAAAACATGACGTTGAAGATGTTTTTTCATGGGCCTCCTTCATACTGGATAACTACCCTGGTAAAAATACAAAAACAAAAACACAGTCATAACATGAATGATCTTTGCAGGGTCTTGGTGAGGTGCCCATGCACGATTAGTCCATTACTCATATTAGGTTGTTTTGAAAATGTCCAAAACCACCGTACCAAGATTACAGTGGCTTATCCCCATCATGGCAGCAAATCGGGGTCCTGGGTGGAGCGTGGGTCAGCTTATCCATGCAGTGGGGCCTGCGTACACTGGAGTGGCTTGGTTGTCAAAATAATTAACTAGGACTGATGGTCTCATATCTGGGGTACAACCGAGATTGTGATAAGGTCATAAGAAAACACCTAGTGTGGCGTGACCTGTAGCTGCATATCTCAAGGATACAAAATCAGCAGGAAAACTCTACTGGCGAGTACAGGAGGGCAACAACATCACGATTTTCTTCACACTAAAGGAGGTTTTCCAAATTTACTGGGTCATTATCTGGTGTGACCGAGCAGAGACCTTAGAGTTGCTTTGTTCTTTTAGAAACTTAGCAGCCTGTGACCCAACTGTAAAGTTTGTTCTTTACGTTTTAAATCTAGTGAGCCTTTAAAAGATAATACAGCAAAACCAACAGATCATGTTAACTTGACTGTACTGTGGGACTTGCATTTTGAATTTCATTAAGGGGACAGACAATGCATATTATTCAACATGAAAACATCACATAAATATACCAGATTTAGCCAAAAAAGCCAATCTTCATCTGTAGTCCCCTAGCAGGTTGATGGAAGGAATTAGAAATAATTACAATTAACATGAATAAGAACATACATGACCTGTCATTTATGACAGATTTCAATGTACAGCTAAAAGTAGTGTAATTTACTGTTTAAAGATCATAAAGATATATGAGCATGATACAATGATTTCCTTTGAAATTTCCTCATTTTAGTTACATAAATCCAGGATTAATCTGAGTAACGATGTCCAGTAAACTGACCAAGCAATGCTTTTGACTTCCGTCCTTACTTTCAATGTCCCTCCTGTTTCAGCATCGATGGCGAGTACGTGCCTATGGAAGGAGACGAAGTCACATACAAGGTGTGCCCCATCCCTCCCAAGAACCAGAAGGTCCAGGCTGTCGAGGTGGTCATCACTCACCTAAACCCAGGCACCAAGCACGAGACCTGGTCGGGTCAAATCATCAGCTCCTAGACGAGCGCGACCGTTGGCGAAGCTACACAGGGATTAAATTTTAGGATTTTTGATTTTGTGGCYCACAGACTTGGGGACCAGGTGAAGGATCTGAGCTGAGATGGTAGGCTGTTGGTGATAAAGGTTATAGAGTAGAGATTTGATTGTAAATGTTTGAATGTTTTCCTGTGCCGACCATGGATTCATCTTTTTTTGTTTGTTCTGTTCAGGGATTAAATGTTCGGTTAAGTAAGTTTGGGTTGAAGTGGTGGTGCAAGCAATCTTGCATTTACCTCAATAGTATATAGAGTACTATAGTACTGTAGGTGTTTAGGAGGTGATGTCTTGATTGGATTTAGGTGTAAATGATAGTTACAGTATACAGGAGGATTAAAATGTGGTTAGAGCAAACTGGAAGGAGTACTGCCATATTGACTCTCAGTCGACCTGAAGTTTTAAGGGGTCAGCTCAGCAGAGTTCTTTAATTTGCTTCCATAATCTCAGCTGATGCGTATCGCTGCCAAAATCACTGCCAAAATCATAAAAACAAACTGTAGCTTAACATGTTTCATCCATCACAGATGAAGATGAAAAAACAAACCCTTTCAATTGTACAGGTTGTTTTCATTATCACAAGAAGAGCTTCTCAGATCCCTAAATCAAAAGTGTTTCATGTGTAATGGTTGTTTACACAGATGGGCTTCAGATTCACATTCACTTAGTTCTAAAAGGGTTTAGGCCTTGACCACTGGGACAAGCTCTACATATTTGAAATTATGCTCCTTTCCAGTACTGCAACACCTGRTTGTCAATGAGCCAATGTTAGTATCCTGTTTGATTTTCCTATGACGGTCTGAAAGTTTGGTGGTAAAGGCCAGAGGTTTTGAGGGATGGCAGGAGGTGAGAAACAAGGGAGGACCAAAGATGGGGCAGAGGATGGAGTGATAAACGTTATAAGTGCAGAGACTATATCAGTTATAGGCCCTCACCACACTACTCCAGGTATTTTTTTAAAAACTGAGATTTTCTGCTTCTTTAGCAGCTCTTTGCCATGTGCAAATGCAGATTTTAAAAAAACTCCATTTTTGTTTGTGACCAAGTCAATTCAGATCGGAGTCCTAGCAGTGTATGTCACAAAAGCTCTCACTTTGTGTCCTAGAAACCAAAACAAGAGTGTGCTAAAATGGTTACTTACTAAAGGAAAATTGTAAACTGTAAAGGCGTTCTTGCCATGCAGTGGCTAGGATGAGGCTCAATTGTACTGTGTGCAGTTAATCATCAGAAAAACAGTCATAGATTAATATTTGCGATTAGTGACTTATGTACGACGGCGCAGAGCTAACGATAATGCTAACGCAGAGCTAATGCTAACACTGCATACACGTTTAATCACCTGAAACAATGCTATGAACTGGAGTACGAGGAAAGCCAGCAAATAGAAACTGAGACCACAGCAAACTTTCCTCTGATGAATGTTGGAAACAAATCTCAGTCCAGAATCCACGATGAATTCAAGCATACTGACTCTTACGAGCGTCAAAGTAAGCACCGGAAAGAAATAATGCAGGCTGTGGCTGTTAAAATGAATAAGTTAGTTTGACAAGTATAATTTTAAAACACAGAGTAACTGATTTAGTTAAAAACAAGTGCAATTGTCATGTATTAATTGGCTAAATTCTACAATTAATTGTGACTAGAATGATCTGAATGGAGGTTTTTTTTGTAGGTTTTTATAGAGAAGAAATGATCAGTGAAATAAAAATATCTGGAGTTTTGTAGATGGGGTCCCAAAGTCAGTCATTCACATACTGTGGGTCAACAAACAAAGTTTACTTTAAAGGAAAAGTTTGACAGTTTTGAAGGAAACATGTTTGTGTTATTGTGAGCCATTTTATTAGTCAAGTAATAAGATTTTGATTTATAAAACCTAGTAAAACAGAACATGTGGCAGGCTATCTTAGTTCAGCATAACAAATAAAACAAAGCGATAGAGCCAATGAAACATGACAGAGGACAAGATAAGAGGATTTGTTTTTTTCCTCACTCATAATGTGCTACATGGAAACATGGACAGAAAAGCTCTTCAGCAAAGCCAACACCTGAAGGAGTTATTCTGCAGACAGATTCATGTTATTGACAGTAACTTGTCCTCATACCCCTTTTTGCAAATTGTCCATCTTTTGAGTAGAAGAAGTTAGGATTGTCTGTCTCTGGATACAATAAAGATATATGAGCAACAAAAATGAATACCATACAGTCCACCTCAATGATAATATGATGCAATTCAGTGTGTTTTAATTTGATYTGATACAACAAAACAAAGGTATAATCCTATGCAATTCAGCTAAGCGAGTTATTTATTAACCTGGTTAAACTTGTCTCACAGCGTCACACATTCAGTTAACAAGTCAAAGTGTGGTAATAAAAATGGTGACAGGCAGGCAGCAGATGTGATGAACACTCGTTCACCGACTCGGCACTAAAATGCATTTTCTCAATATCTTTTATGGTTTGCCTCAAAGAGACATGATGTCCAACCTAATATTTAGTTCAGTGTCCTTTTACGGTCCGTTTATAAAAGGATTTATCAGTGGTGAGCACAGCTAACTAAAAAGTTAGCTTTGCTTACTCACAGTCCACTTACTAAAACTATAGCTTCGCAAACGCTAAATTCTAAACATAAAAAAGTTTTCAGAAGCTAATGCTAAGCAGCCAAACAACTAAAAATTAGCAGAAGCTAAAACTAACAGCTAATCGCTAAGATGACAGTCTCTRAGTCTTTGTCATGTTTTTGTCTACTTCCAGCTGAAGACTGGTAGGACTGACACAAACCTGTTGAAGTTAGTTAGTTAGCTGTTGTTAGCTGATGTTTGTAGTTAGCTYTTAGCAGACTTAAAGATGATAAAACCAAATTTAGCAAAAGCTAATTGATTCAKTAAACAAAATGAGTGAAGAAACTAATCTGCGAAATTAAAAGCTATTTTTGCTATTAGCTGTTAGGAGATAAGCGGAACCATGCCCATCACTGGGTTTTATTAATGCTTTGTAAAATAGGAAATTATAATAATTATAAAACACTGTTCATACACTGAAGCAGGCACCCTGTCTAGCAAGACTATAAAGTCCAGTACTTTAAGTAAGTACTGTGAACATTTGTATATATGAAGGTATTTAATTAAAAAGTATGAACTAAGCAATAAATTACATTTTCCTGAATTAATAAACACACAGCATTAATTTTACCAAAGGTAGTTAACCGGATTCAGTGGTTTTAAAAATAAATGCTATCATTTCATAAATGGTTTACAAACTCCTAAATAACCTATTTATAAAGCAACAATAAATCCTTGAAGGAGCTCTTAATCACCATTTTTAGAAGGTTATTGTTTGATAACACTTTTTAAACACTCATAAAGTATATTTGTGAACTTATAAGTGAATATAGGATTGGCTCTTTTTTTTGAAAACAGCTAAAAACAAAGTGGAGTTAACCAGCAGCTAAATGTAGCTGATATCAAAACAAACTAGCGTAATTTTTTAACTCTTTGTATGTTGACAAATAAGGATAATTTACAATATGTCAATCTGTTTTCTGTCATTTATGCAGCTACAAAGATCTGCCTGTATATCTGTTTTCTATTTTTGTGTTTTTTTAATAATATTTAACCATTAGTAAAATTTCTTTTTTTTTGTTGTATCAGTTAAAAATGAAAATAAAGTTCACCATAGACCATTTAGAAGGGTGAAACAAAACTGCAAATCTTAATGTGAGAAGCTGAATACTTGAGTTTTATTAAGTTTCTTGTGTAGTTCGAGGACTGTGAAGGAAAAAAAAGCAAAGTAAAAGCTTCCTGATGTAAGTAAAAACCCTTTATTTATTGGCTTATTTATTTTCATTTGTAGCTATAAAACCATTAGGTGTTTAAAACAAAAAGAAATGCTGTATTTCTGTGTATTAGTGCACATTTCAGCCCTGCACAGTTCGTCACTCTGATGATCCTACCCTGTTTGCTGTCATGTCATCTTTTTAAAGAAAAAAAAAGTTTCTAAACTCTACCTGCTGTTTGCCTAATTTTCAGTAAATAAATGTTTGAATTAACGTGCAGGTTTGTTGTGTTGGAAATTGTTTACTGTTCGTCGTCTATTTTTAGCTTTGAATCATGCAGTAACACGCYAAGCCTTCAGAGAGAAGTGTCGTCYTTTTCTCACCTTCATGTAAAAGTAGCACACTATCTGACTTCTTTTAAATGTGAGGAAAATGTGTCTTAATGTGTTCATGAGCACTTTTGTTTTATTCAAACCACTGCAATGCTGTTTTTTTTCTTGTTTGAAAGTTTTAATTAAAAGTTAACAATAAAAAATATGTTGAAGTTTTTATAAACGTGTCAAGGATTTTTTATTCTCACCAGAGGCCTCAGTCAGATGAGATATAAAACTGGAAATATTCATCTGCTGTTGTTTTCAGCTGATTTTATCCCCACTTTTGACTCATCATAAAGCATACGGTAACACACATCTATCTATCTATCTATCTATCTATCTATCTATCTATCTATCTATCTATCTATCTATCTATCTAT